TGTGCATGTGTGGTCATCTGTGAAGTCTTTGTTGTGGAGTCTGACAGCAGTTGGAAGGAAAGACCTGTGGAGTCTCTCCGTCCCACATCATGGGTGCTGCAGCCTGCTGCTGAAGGTGCTGCTGAGTGCTGTCAGAGTCTTCTGCAATATCAATACCTTGGATGTTTAGTGGCTGCAGTGGAGGATGTTTGTGCCTGCAGAAGTCTACCACCAGCTCCTTGGTTTTACTGGTTTGGATTGGTTTTAGTGTTGATCTGTAGGTAGTTCTGCTGACACCAGTCCATAAAGCCTTAATACTAAATAGTGACTAGAACTTAAATGCAACAAGACAAAAATCAAAACAGGAATTGAAAATCAAAATAATAATAATCAGGGAACCAAACAGAAAACGCTTAATCCACTTGAATCCAAAGGTTCCTGAAACCAGGGGCACAACAGACCAAGAAGAAACCCAAAAAACAGAAACTCTACTACTGTAGGGTCACACAAGCATCTCAGGGGTCTGTGAGTTAAAGCAGTGCATTGAAGATACAGCATATTACACTGTACTGCTTATTTTTTTCTCTCTTTTCTCACAAGCAAAACAGTTAGATCAGATTAAAACAAGAGCAATTAGGAAATTCAATACAAAAATGTTTCTGGTGGCCTTCAAAACTAAATTGTGAAAAAGAAAGGAGACACTGCCAAATGACCAAAACACACATTAGGTGCAAGGATTTGTGTTGCAATCTTTCCATGCAATAATTTACCTTTGATTGTTGGATTTCTGCTTGGCCAGCTTTTGGTTAACTTATAAATAAATAAATTTCAAGTATACATGACAACAAATAATTAGAGAACCAATCACAGAGGATAAAGCAACCCCAGAACTTAATGCTATTACCACCACGTTTCTCCAGAGAGATGGTATTAACCATGTGATAAACAGTAACTTGGAGTTCAGCCAGAAAGCTCTGTTTTAATCTCATTAGAGCAGACATTACTTTAGCTCTTCCCCTTAGTTCTTTAAACCCCATATGGTAAACTCCAGGTGGAAAGAGTGCCTTTCTAGCTGCTTTACAATGATGGAGTGGTGCTGAGATTATTGCCCTAATGCCTCGCCACAGTTATCGCAGAGATCTACAAAGAATACCTTGGCGCTTAGTACTTGTTTTTTGCCACAACATGCAGTCAGATCTGTAGGACCTCAGAGACACAGGTGTACCTTCCAGAAGGTTTCAGTCAGCTTCAGGGCCATTTGCCAAAGGGTGTAAAGTGTTGGAAGACTGACATTTTGTTTTTAAACTTGTAAAAGTTTAAAAAGTATATATTTCCAGTTGTTCAAAATTGGCTACTGAGTTCTGAATGACATACAAAAGCAGTTTTATTAGTTTCATATTCTGCAAAATCATAAAAGCTGTCATTTGACTTCTGTACATCTGAGATAAATAGGCTGTAACGATATTCCCAGGGCTGCTTTAAACTAGCTCAGCTGTAATGTTTCTAACAGTGCTGTTGATTGTAATATGATGAGTCTAAGATTACCTGGAATCTAAGCGCTCATGAATCACTCTTTTATTGTTTCAAATAAACCAACATCTCTCCAGACTGTGACGATATTTCGCAACGTCACCGAAAACGCCCGAGGGATTAAAGCACGGCTCGAGTTGGGCTGATGAATGTGTTGTTTTGCGTTCAGAGGAGGCACTGTGACAGGCTAATAAATATTCATCACAGTGACAGTGCGAAAAAAAGATGAAGCTGTGAGAGTGAGAAGGAGAAGTTTCTGTCCATATGCAAGAGTCTGTGAAGGTTCTCAGTCCATATGCAAGGGAAGCGTATTTTTCAAGAATTAATCAAATGTTTATGCAACAGATTAAATGCATTCCACACTTGACATAAAGCAGAGGCAACAAAAGCTAAATCGTAAAACTATCTGCTTTACACAGATGCACAAAGCTCATACAAGATGTCAGAGGTGCTATCACAAGAAATGTGTCAGACAGAAATCTGCGTGATTGAACAACTGAACAAAGGTGTAACATTGAGTCAGCATAGCAGAGCAGTCAACTGGCACTGAGCTTTTTGAGATAAAACACTGCTACATGCTGCAAATTGAAAAATGCTTTCTATCCCTGACATAAAATTTCACTGTTACTTCAAAGATAAAACTAAAGAAAATTCTGGGCCTCCCCTAAAACAATAAGGACATGCATGATTAACTTCTACACTTGAGCTGCACTATATTTACAGCAAGAAGCTGAAGATAGCTCTTCCAATGGGTAAATAAAAAAGAAGCTAAAATAATGGTTAACTGGGGGTGCTTCTTCCTTACAAGTTGGAATTGTTTGAAGTGGATGTGTAAAGTAATTTGAATTGATTTTCACTAAATGTGGTGTTGTACATTATGGCCAAACATCTTCACTCTGGTCCCATCTGTCTAGATGCAACTTTGCAAACCCAAGCTGTGCTCCTTTTAGAGAAACACAAGCTTTCTGCTGACAACCCGTTCAAACAGCCATACTTGTGCTTTCTCTTTGTTTGGCACCACCTGACCTTTGGGTGAAGACCAACAAACTACCAAAACCAAAACCTGGAGATAATCAGCTAATTAAGGGTAGCCCCACCTGGCTGGTCATTTCTATGGAAGCAAGGTTAAGGTTGGACTTTATTTTTTCAGGGTTGCTTGTGAACATGAATGTACTATGTTGACTTAAACAGTTTAAGAGCCAAGAAATGTTCCACTCTTGGGAGTCTCCCATTTTTGATGAACAAACAAACCAACAAACAAAACTTGCTTTCTTGTGTCACTTTTCAGGTCTTTAGCAAATTATTGACAACTCAACTTTGGTGTTAATTTTGGTTGCTCTGTGGCTCAAAATCACCAAAAACTTAGAGCCGATAAATCTTATTCCATATAGTGCATTTTTCAAAATGCCATTCTAGTTGGAAAAATGTACACACCAATGGAATTTTTTTTTTTAAAAAAACTATTAAAATATTAAATATTAACAAAATATTAAGTATCAAAAATACTCTCAGACACGCAATCGCATTAGGTTGAAGTAATAAATAAGTTGAGATCCTGTTGTAATAAAATCGCTAATCAGGTTACCAGCTCTGTGCTGCATTTCTGTCTTTTTATGGCTTCAAAACGATCGATTACACAGGAACAAAGAATAGAAGAGAAAACGGGTTAAAAGATATTCAGTAAGTGCATTTCAAAGACACATTTACAAGAACCTAAAAGCTAGAAATTTTTAAAGCACTTTATTGCAATGCTCACTATACATTGTAATCTTCATCTTTAACGTTTTATTACTTTTTTGTATATAATTTGCCCGCTAAACGCTTTTCTTCGACTTCTTTGTTAACACTGCATGCGACTTTCAGTTTAGTTGTAACACTCGGCGTTTGATCGGCTTTAAAATCACCTCCAATATTATATGTTTAACCGAAAGACAGCGTCCAGGTGACTGATTGATGGGTAACACAACACTAGAGATCGCCATTGAGCCACGATCCACGCGTGGTTCCGGGCGAACGTGAATAGTGAGTAAATGTGCCTTATCGACTGTATAGGCCTTTTGGCTGTAATGGCATTATTATAATAATTAAAACGCACAGACTGCTCATGACACTGCCACTAATGAAAAGCTTACTAGAGGCTCAACACGTGAGCGAGAGTAAAACGTATGGGCTACAACTTGGACACGTTATGCGTAAAAGGTATCAATATTCGCAGAGATTCTCACATGAATCCCACTGATTAGGCTATCGATCCGTAGTGAAACCACGGAGATGAGAGTGATCAGCACTTACTATTTAGATCAGTAATTCGTGTAATTTATTTATTTACTCCCTCTTCTGGGCTCTTTTTTTTATCATCTCACATAGTAGCGACAGACTTCTGTAGCAGACTGTATGGTTACTAGAATCGATTGTCTGTCAGAATTACCTCTATTATTAAAAAGCTCGGAAAGGCTCCGGTTCACATGACAGTAGGAACCTCTCATTGTGCAGCTCGGAGTGAAAGAGAGGCTTTGACTCTGTGTGATGAGATGAAGACCTCAGATGAAATGGTCAGCAGCACCGAGGGCGCACGGATTCCTCGCCTCGGCTCTGAGTAGACGACCTCCTACCGACTTACTTCACGTCACCCCGCCCGTCTGCTTGCCGTCTCCTCCCCTAAAACCCTTCCTGCGACCAACCCTTTGAGCGACTCTGGGCTTAAAAAAATAGAGACTGAGAGAGAAAGTGAGAGAGATAGCGAGAGCGAGCCAAAACACATACTCCCAACATCACTTAGACTATCTTCTCCAGCACAACAAGGGGAGGAGGACGCACAAGTGGAGGCGCGTCCATGCGTGCCAACCGGCAGACGAACAAGACATTAAAGCGGGCAAAGGACCACAAATAAATTGGAATAAGACTGAACTCTTTGGAAAAGCGCACAGCTTTGCAAAAAAAACCCCAAACAAACAACACGCCCCAAAAAAAGACAGTCTAGATGAGTGAATGGTAAGAAGAGTCATGCATCTCAACGGAGGAGCAGATAACAGCAAAGGTGAGCAAAAATATTTCAGCGGCCATCAGTGGATAATTTTAATCAGGCTCTCTGCATAGTTCAAAGCTCTCGCGTTGATTGCCAGATGCCCTTGAGTGTGCCATGTTGATGTCAAGTAATGATGCTGGGGGTCATTCCAACAAGCTAATGGTTACTGCTGTCATGGTTTTATTAGTGCCTGTTTGCCTTTCACCAAAACGCACTGAAAAGCTTCGCATGGTAGTGAGAAGGGGTGCTGCAATACACCCAAGGTGGCAATAGTGACTGTCTGTGAGCCAGCCACTTGAGCACTTGTTGTTCTCGATTTGGATCCAGTGTGCACGGTCGCATCCTTGCACGGTCGTTCTTGCACGGGGTGACCTGAGCATACATGCACAAGGTCATTTTGATGAGCAGCCTGTCGTGTTTGTGCAGCTTCGAGGTGCGTGTGTTTGTATTGTTGTCTGTAACTGAGACGAATGCGTGCCCTCCGCTGTGGTCGGAGGGGGAGAATTAGAGAGCAGACGGTGTGTAACGACACAACGCTTCCTATCAAGATAAGTACCGATGGCTGTTGATGCATCTGCGAGAGCCGTGGTGTTGGTGGTGGGGGTATTTTTACTCTCAGTCTTGGAACCGAGGTCGAGGTCACTGACTAACACCTGATGCTGATGGAGATTTGCCTCTCAATGTCTGTCGACATGACGCAGCCCGTGTCTTACTGAGCACTGTAAAATAAACAGCAACTGGACTTGTGTCCACCACACCCACGCACTCAGCAAGTTAAATGTATTATAATGACTGGCATCAAGTATATGGCACTATGATCCACAGACTGATTATTCAAACTACTGCATGTAATAGTCAGTCCCCCATAAACGTGTGATATCTGTAGTACAGTTGTGGGCAGAAGAAGTCTTAAAAAAAAAAAAAACTGAAATACTAACGAGCAACACCACAGTGTAAGTGCTGAAAATCTTTCAACTTTTTATTTTCTCACATCTGAGCAGCATGCTGATAATGATGTGATACAGTTTGAATTGGAGTACAGTATTTCACATTTTTATTTGCAAGTGGTGAGCTTTACGGGAGGCTAATATCTTTGTTTTTACCAGCTGTAAAGCGTGCTGTTTGGTGAGGAGTTCCCCATGTGGAGAGGGGTGACCGGCACAGTGGCACACCGCATCGCCCCTCATCTGAAATGTCTTACGACCTCATTGCCAGATATGGTTTCACCAGGGACAAAAGATGAGTCACCATCTGCAACTGGAAGTGATTTCATGATTACATGACAGGCGTGTGTGCGTGCGCGTGTATATTCCTGTATTACTCTGCTCGTGGGGACATAAATGTGCATACAGAGTCTCAATGTGTGGGCATGCTTTCCTTCTGGGGACAAAAGGAAAGCATGCCCACAGTGTAAATTACAATAATTTAGTTTGAAGATGCGCTTTAAGGCTAGGCTTAGGTTAAGATGTGGTAATGGTTAGGGTTAGGGAGTTAGCAGCTATGTTAAGGGTTAGGTAAGACTGTAGCAAAGGAAGTTAATGTTCTCGGGAGTGATGGAAGCGTGACTGCATGTGTATTTGCACATGTGTGTGCTTGTGTGAGACAGAGAGAGTATGTGTGTCTGTGTTTGTGTCTGAAAGTGAGAGGGAACGTGTGAGAGAGAGTCGTGAAGCCAAAAGGTATTAATCAAAAGGTTAAGTGTAACAGCAGAACTCAGGCTAAAGCTCGACTCCTTATATATTGAAAACACAGAAATAAATATTATAAATGTCACTGAATAACATCAGTGATGACAGAGACACTGCGTCCAATATAATAACAGCTTCTTTTTTTTATTCTAACAGCAAAAATATTACATGTGGCATATTAAAGATGTCTGAAGTTCATGAAGTTAATGTTCTGTATGGCAGCTGAAGCAGATGGTGTTTTATGCTTATAGGCTGTTTACTGTGTCAAAATGAATCAGATCAATGGCTCAGACTCATTACCCCAAAAAATTATAGCCAAGCCTCCAGCTTTAATTGTCACATTGCATTACCTTAGATAGTCTAGACAACACAGAAACACGTTTTCCGGCAGACACAATCTATTTCCAGATTAATTTCAGCAAACGGTTCAGTCAGCAAAGCGTTTGTAATTTGTCTTAAAAACAACCGTGAGTGTTCTTTCTGGAGCTCATACATTTTTAGCTTCACGGGGACAGCAATCTAAACTTCAGCCATCGTTAGCCCTCTTCTGCACCGTGGTGCGAATTGAGCAGAAGGGTGTCAGTCAAACTTTGAGTGTAGTTTACCGCCGGATTAATGTGTTTGTGTAGATTTTACCTGGAGATTGAATTGATATTTTCCCTGCTTGTTGGCTCTTAAGCAATAACTGTACTTTGGTTTAAAATCATCCTCAATTTACACTTTCCTATGAAATAATACATTTGTAAAACACTGCATCAACAGGCTTCCTGAGTATACCTTTAGGTGTAAAATGCAATCACTTGGCCTTTTTGTCCAATTGGACATTAGTGCTAAAATGTGTTTTATGAGGCCACCGTGGCCTCTAACCTTATTCTAATCAAGTGAATGGTTTTGCCAAATGTAATGAAATCCCATCCATGGGTTCCTGCGGCATTGCTTTCACAAATAATGGGACAGATGTGAGGTAACGCCTACCCTGACATTCATAAACCAAATTCAGATTTGTTCATGTTTGAATCTAAGTGAATATTTGTGCAAAATTTTTAGAAATCCTTGCAAGATGTTCAAGTGATATTGTGCTCAGAGTCTGAAGCAGACAACCTCGTAATGCTCAGCGCTCACGGTGATGAGACTTTACTTGTTTATGTGACCAAGATTAGAAAAACCCAAACTCATATTGACTTTACCATAAAAAAGCTGATCTGGCAAACAAATAATCAATAAATGCATTTGCTGATTGTTTTTTTCAATTATCTCCAAAAATACCAATTGTGGCTGCTCTTAAGTCACTTCAGCTTCATAATGACATGTTGGTGACAGGGCATATGAATACTTTCATATTTACTCATGATAAACATTCTTAGGTCAAATTTTCAATATCAGACTTCTTGTAAATGTGGAGTATTTGTGCTTCCCAGTGTTACTGTCATTTATTTGAACATAGGCTACTTTTTACATTTTTGTCTTAAATGAAAGAAACAAGCACATATAACATCCCATATACAGTAACTATATTATACTATTATAAATAACTATTTACCTTGACCCTGTGTGTAAACGTAATCTTACGAAGTTTTTAAAAAAAGGTTTTCCAGACCATTTCAAATATTTTCTTTGTCCATGGAAATATTACTTTTTCCTAGTGGAAGTATTGAACTCATCCATCATACCCAGTGCATACGCTTGATTTTGTGAAGTAAAACAAGTGAACCAACACACTGCAATTACATCAAGATTTGATATAAGCTAGGATGTGAAGCTTTATTCATTCTAGTTATATCACCACTAAAGGAGACGCCATCTAAAAATATCCTCATTTGTGGTTATGTCAGTAAATGAGTTCAAATTTTGATGCTATAAAAGCAACAGCTCATTTTCCCAAATATTGATTAGGCTCACAGCAAAAATAAAATACATTACATGCAGTCTGCAGGATGTTATGTAATTCTTTCCATGCATAGAGTCACTTTTTTGTGTCTAGTTCCCCAGACGAGCATCTATTATGCAACTTAAAGAGGGGAGCATATCATTGATTTGCAACCCAGTATTATTTATTAACAGAAAGAAAAAAAAAAGGATGGAATAAGAAAAGGTATTGTTCCAGGGACTAAGAGCATGAATACGACAGATTGAGGAGCTATTTATATAGAACCAACAAGCAATTTAACACAAGCAGTTACCAGGGACAGCACTGACAAGACAAAAATGTAAATGCACAAGCAGAATAAAGTCAAGACCACAAGTTTGTGGAGGGCTTGTAGAACATAATCAGAGACACCTTTTTAGTGTTGTAGTAATCAGTGGGTAGTTAGTTGTGGAATTCCTGCATTGTTGTTGCAAGTTCCCTTCACAACAGCTCAGGTGTAAATGTCAGGTCTTAAGTAAGCATCAGGGCAAAGTGCAAAAGAGACATCTTGTTAATCAAGCATGTGAGAACAGTCAGCAATAACCACTCAGTATGAGTAGCGTTGGGATTCAGTGGGAAATGTTTAATTAATATTACGGTTCAAAACTAATGGACTGGAATTATTATTAGTGGTATGAGACAAACTGTTAGGGAGACAGAACACTAATTAATAGAATTTGAAACAAATATATTTTTATTCCCTGTTTAATTGTGAGCCACAGTGTTGGGCAAACAAGCCACTTAGATTTACAGACTCAAGAGACCAGACGAAGAGGACATGAAAGAGGAAATATTGCTCTGTTCTACTTAGCTGCGCACATATTTTTAACCGAGGAGGAAATATGATAGACTACCGCTTAAAAAATGATGACTGAATTAAAAAGTCAGACAGGAGGGGCCAACAAAGAAATAGACACAGCGTGTCACTTAGAGGGACAGATCTAGGCGTGTCTCGAGCTAGCAGGCCCGGACAGATGAATTCTTTAGCCTCGGTAAACTGTCACATCGTCACCTCGTGCTGTGAGGTTTGAAATAAAGAGAGCAGCAGCAACAAGGCTTTTTCTCTGATGAAGGCATCAAAGTGAAACACGTCAGGTTTGCCAGTGCCTTTGTTTCAAATACAACTAGAATAAACAAAATGCCAAGTGATGTATCATTAACATATTTTTTTAAACCCAGAATTATTTATACTGGTGTTTTTATTGCGAGCATACCCATATTTATACCAGAAGTAGGCAGGTCTATAGAAAAGTTATTAAATATATATAGAACTTATGTCATTTTCTTTATTGATATGGAAAAAAAATGTGTGCACAGACCCAATCATCTATCCAAATATACATTGTCTTAACCACTAATGCTTCTTAGGGTTGCAGGGAGACTGTTTCCTATCCCAGCTGTCATAAAGCATGGAGGTG